CTGTACAATCAGTTTTAGGGCTAGGAAAACTCATATACATGAAATATAGGGAAAACTCACATATTGTGTTGTATCTTACTCAAATTTTGCTTATTTTACTTTATTTTTTCTGGGATATGAAAGACACTTTAAAAGTATATTTTTTACAACTTAGATCATGTAATTTGGTTAAGTATTAGTTGAGTTATGATAGATTTTGTATTTGAGTGTACTTAGTGTGACGAAAATCACAAATCGCGCGTGTGACAATATTTATGAAAATGACAGTAATATTCAAAATTTTGCAGAACAAAAGGACAAGAACTAAGAATAATATGTTCCTAAAAGCTTATGACCACAATTTTCTGAGGTAGTAAGAATTTTGTGTCAGCAGAAATAACGAAACAAACGCGTCTTTGTAGACTTTCGACGTTCTTTAACTTTTCGCCGTAGGCAAGTGAATTGTTACATAAGCAAAAGGGCGCATCGCTCAGCTCTGTCGCTTGGTCTTCAATCTCATGCGGCTATGTCCTAGTAGCATATTGTATCACTCTGCGGAACTAAGCAAGAATTAATCTCCCTGGATCTGCATGCTTTTGTATTTCATGATGCAATCCGTCTCCACTCGACTCCGAGTGTCAGTCGACCATGCTGACTTCTTCACGGACTCTGAAGGCCAACCCGTCAAGTTCAGGATACAACCCGGTTTCAGCTCAGTCTTGAGGACACGTCTGGAGGATGGAATTACAGTGAGTCCTATCGAGCATGCTATGTTAATATATATATAACTCTGTTTTCGATGTGACTTGATGATGCACTCCTACAGTCGCATGGTGGAATCGTTATTAACAAGATTCCGATACGCGGTATCGTCATTGTGGACCCAAAGTCGCGTTCTGGCCAAGAGATTGTATGTGAATGGGCTTGGGCGGAACGACCGAGTCGGTATTTTGTGTCGTATGCATTCGTCCTGCAATGCTTCAGCGCGAAGAAGTTACTTGTCTTGGACGAGCATGCGTTAAGGCCGGAGGACTTTGTGCATACGTTGCGGCATATTGGAGAAACGTGATATTTTCGTTCTGATCTGAGAACGTATTGATTGATTGGACTGATTGGTTTGCTACTTTGCGTTGGCGCATACAGTCAACTGGAACTTTCGACAGACGTGGAGGACCAACTGGCACTTTATCTTGCGACGTTCGCACCTGATCATGCCTCTGGTATGCGTTCGTCCAATGGAATCTATCAACGTCTCGTCAAGAATGTGCGCATATACGCACCTTTTCCTGGTCCTCCAACTGCGTTCTCTACTTATTTGCTCTAACAGAAACGTCGGTATCCCTGGGTTGGAGACTATAGCTGGAAGGTATTCAGAGACCACTATTGCAAGAACAAAAGGTTTTACGACAAATTCGTCTCTACCATCATCAAAGAACGTGGACAAACTATAACGAAGACTGCTACTATACCTCGAAAGGAATTCCTTATTGTTAAGAAACCGACAGATCCTATTGTGGAAGCCGTCATACCTGTTCGAAAGAATGTTGCGAAGGAGAATACTGGGTCTACTACAGATAAGAAAATACAGCCGGGTAATGCTCTTCGAATTGAGCGCAAGCGCAAGTTTGGGAACAACGTAGCTAATGTAGAGAGGAAGACCAAGACACATAAGATCCTTCGGACTATTGATGATATGCTAAACGCGCCATTACCAGAAATCATCGCCGAAAGGAAGAGCAAGAGTCTTTCGAGGTCGGCTGTTCGGGGTTTGTCTTCATTTTTTCCTGCTGGTCTCGGTATTACGACATGTTTATTAGATAGTGGCGTCCTAGATGTCGAAATTGGCAGAGTTCCGCCAGGCAGGCCCAAACCTGACGTCTGGATCGATGACAAGTTTAGAGATAACGAGTAAAATTTTCCTGTTTCTGACTAAAGTTGTGCTAATATTCAACTTGCACGCTGCAGCTTAGCCATCACTTCGGAAGATGATGCTGAGCAGAACGTCAAGTCTCAGAGTCTGAATCGCTTTCGTGAATCTTTCTCCTACTATGGCATGGACCTCGATGATTTGCGCTCATCTGCTATCTTGGACGCTATGAAGAACAACATCGACGAGGACCTGGAAGACGAGAAGACTGTCGCCAACCTCTTGGGACGATCGATCGCACTATCTGAAGCTTTACCTCCGAGCCAGGAGACCGGACCTCTGTCAAAGGGAAAAGCTACGGCAATAAAGGTACATTCTCATGGAACACCATCTTCATCAACACGCCCAGGTGTACAAGATCAGGAAGACCCTAAATCAGTAGCTATCCGGGAACTGGCTGCGAACACTCATTTTACACGTGAAGAGGTTGAAGAGAAACTAACTGGCTTTTCTGGGGATGTAGACAAGGCTTGTGAATTTTTCAAGCACTGCCGGCAGCTTATCGAGGACCTGTACAAGAATAAAAGGGATATGTAAAACAAGCTGGAGTGCTGGAGTCACCATAACAGAAGTCACCATAATAAGTTTGCGCATCGGGCTAAATTCATTGTCGAGAACACGTGGGTAAGGTGGATGGCAGGTGGACAAAAGGGTGAATGATGACTAGTGATGGACGAGAACAAAGGGGTGGCAATTAATGTATTATGCACGGCAAATAGATGATGAGCGAAAATAGACAGCTTTGAAGTGAAATCAGAAAAGGAGTCGAAACGTTGGACAAAGTTGTAGGGGCCATGGAAGCACATCGGTTGCTTCTTTAAGCCAGAAACGGATCCGGTCACGGTTGGTTGTGTGTCAACTCATCGGCCCCGTTCCCCCTTAGTCTAGTCGCAACCGGCCCACTCCAATTCCTCGTCATCCCTTCTTTTACAACGACGACGACGACGGCGAAGGTGACGACGCTTGGGCGGGCATGTCTGCCATATCTATGCCTTACCTTTAGATCTCTCCAGTCAACTCTTCACTGCAAGTCGGTACGCGCCTCAACACGTCCTCGGTTGTATTCGAGCCGCCTCAAGGCCCACGCGTTTTTGCAGTCGTGTTCCGCAAGTTTTACCAATCTTGGGCGTCATCAGACGTGTTGTTCACGAGTTCTGGCATCCATTTCATATATTTATCGCCAGCCTAACTCCACGACGTACGTCTTTTGCTACTAAGTTAAGTGTGTGGAAGACCTGACCTGGTATTGATATCGCACGCCCGATCGCTGAAATAATATTGGGCTTGACGATAGTCTGTATTCCTTCGCCTGCGCGTGGTTTTCCATTTCTGTGTGTCGTGTGCAAGGGCTTGTGACGCCTTGAGGCTTCCAGGGAAATGTCGGCTCGCGGCCACCAGGATCCTGTTCAGATCTTACGTTCACCACCACAAACGCGACATACTGAGCTCCAAGAGGTTGATTCCGCATTCGACGCGGCCACGGCCTCGCCGGCCACACCTGCGGTCTCTCATTCTTTAGGACGAATCTGCTTCCCGCCTTCTCCCCCTTACACGAACCCACATCTCAGGCGCGCAGTACCTTTGCCGTTCTTTGACGAGAGCTTTTCCAAGAATCAGCCTGCCTCGATGGAATGTGGACAGAATGCGCTCAAACGCATGCAACATGAATCACATAGGTCGTTGAGCGTACTTTCTCCTCCGTATTCGCCGCGTCGACGGACTCTGTCACTGCTGAGTGTGGATGAGAACGAGGAAGCCGCGGATTCTTTCGAATCGATTCCCCCCGAGAGCGTGTCTTCCGCCGAGACAGACGGATATAAAGGAAGGCAATTAATTGGAGATTTCGACGAATCGGAACCGCCGCCTTTAAAATTGAAGGATTTGGACCTTGGGGAGGAGTCGGATGATTGGGATGAGCCACTCTTCCTGCATGCACCCTCTGCGCTGCACTCCTCGGACGGGCTGGAGCTCAATCTATTTGGCACGATATATTCCAGCGATGATGATTTCCCTTCTCATGGGCAATTTAATCCACCGTCTTCGCCAACTATACACTCATCTTCTCTACCTGCCTTTGACGACGATGGCGATCATCCAAAAAGTGGCAAACCTCTCTTCGATCCTTCGGATTTCGACGTGTTTGAAAATGGATGGGATGCCATAAGCAATTCTGATTCAACTCGGTTTAGCACATTCTCAAGTGATACGTCGTCACAAGACACAATTCTCAGTCCTGTCTATGAACGGTCTGGAGGATTCGATGATTGTACGGAACCTTTTCTGTTCGAAACACCGACTTCTCCATCTCGACGAAGTATCATTGACCTTCCCGGAGATGAATCCTCCGACTCTACGGGATTAGAGCCGTTAATGGCGTCGCTTGCAATAGGGCAGGATGAAGTGGCTAGCCGGCTTTATGATCAAAGCTCTTCTTCACATGCCCCATATAGCCAGGAAATACGTCCGTCGTTCGATTTCACTGCTGAGGCTGTCCAAACTCCTTTCAGATGTCCTATCTCGCTACATTCTCCCGTTTCACAGTCTCCTTCTACTCCAAGTCTACTCTTCGCTTCTCTTGAACCTCAGGACATACCATTGCCAGAATCACCTGAGGAAGAAGTCCTTACCTTACAAGGCGACTATGCGTCATTGCATATGTTCGAGGAGCATCGTATCCGTACCTTGCATCGGGAGATGCTTGAGGCGGAAGTGCATGCGAGAAATCGGGAGGTGGCCTTGACGGATTATATTGCGAGACTAAACGCAATGAAACCGCCATCAATACCAGCGCCGGTTCCCATATATCGTCCTAGGACACCGCTCGAGGTTGGAGGATCGCCCTCTACTTTGCCAAATGATGATCTATTTGCAAATTCGGATACTTCCCAACCTCAGGAGCAACCATCTTTATCTCAAATTCCGACCCAAACTGCATACACACATCCATGTTCCTCGATTCATGGACCCACTGCGTTGGAGTTCCTACAAGCACGTCGCCGCGAGGTCCAGAGTGCCACTGCAATGCGCGCCGCAGAGCGACGACGTCGAAAACGCACGAAGGAACGTATCCGGGAACTCGATGCGCTTCTCCAGATTAAGACTGGCCATCTACGCCCAACGGACGTGTGGACACTAACAGCTTCGCGTGGGCGTCGTGGTCGAAATGACGAAGCCATCGTTCTTGCTGCTTCAGGGTCTGATCGACATCTAGCACATACAAATGCTATGCTACTTGGAAATGCTCAAGGACCCATGCAATCGCAGAGGGAACGACAAGATGAGATCATGCAGTTGGTGGCAAAGATGGTGTTTCGTCGACGTGATTCATCGCGGCCTCTGTCTGGGAAGGCGATGCCAGCGGTACGCGAGTACGTACGTTCCGGCCTATCACGGTCCATCTACTTTGACGACTCTGATGGTCATGGTCACGAATCCACTTCTAACGATTTTGAAACGGTCTTGGCGAGCTAGGAATATGCTATCTCGATGCAAATTGTGTTTCAACATAAGTTAATGTTTTTCATTACCATTCTTCATTTTCATGCTATTCCCATTTCGTTCAACGTTTCGCTATTCATCGTCATCATTGCATTGAAATACGGCCTCTTCATCACGTTAAATCATCTTCATACGTCTTTGCTCGTCTGTCATGCATTTTCTGGATTCTTTACCATTTGTCAATCTTCGTTCCAAGTAGGTATCCTTGCAGATACCTCTTATGTCCTCATGGAAGCATCTTTGTTTCTATTTTCAAAGTAGGTAGCTCACACGACACAAAATGATTCTGAAATTGTTCACGTCATATAACTGTACAGTAGAGTATAAAAACGCCTCTTTCTCGATTATTGTGATGTAGTTGCACAGCTGTATTTCTACTAAATCTGTTCAACCCAGCGATCCATGGTAGTACAAATACATACCTCCTTTATGGAAACCATGAAATCCATGTAAATAATAGAATAAAATAGGGAAACGTTCGAAAGCGAAAGAGGTTGTTAGAAAATACATGCGTAGATGAAGAGGAAGGTTGTCGTGAGCGTCGTAACCAAGCCGTGTCGTGAAGCTTGTCATGGCTTGTGCATAAACTTGTCAAATTCGTTTTCGAGCTTCTCGCTAAGTGCTGGTTCATCGGGCATCTCGCTAAGTGGTGGTTGTTCATCGGGTCGTTCAACCTTAGGAGTGTTCACAAACGCGTGATGTTGTAACGTCTCCTCGCCTTCATTAGCATGAGGCTGTAAGTCCTGTTGTCTGACACCACGGTACTGCATTGCGTAAGCCCTACACGCTTCTCTAGTTTCCTCAAGTCGGGGATCTTGGTGGTCTAGCGCAACGACTTTGAGTCCCCGGAAATTATATTCCAGGAGATCTTTCAAGTCCGGAAGGAGCATCGCATCGGGCGAGTAAGTCCCTGAGTTGTTATCAATCACCAGTTCCCATTCTACACTCTCGTCGAGCATGTCGTCGCTGAAACCTTTCCATCCACCAGGCACAGCCGGTCTCGGATGGAACTCACCGCTATATCGGACCTCCTCCGCGCAGTTGGCGTGTAAGGCGTGTTTTGAGGCGAAGTCGACGAAGAACGCTGCGCCTGTTTCGCTGAATCGGAAGGTGTCGTCTTTGGCGGAGATGATGTAGGTGTATACGGCGGGTTTGATACGGCATGTTGATGTGGGGTTCTTACTCCCACGTAAAAGAGATAAAAAGTCATCCCTTGTCTCGAGTAAACCAGCAGCGTTACTCGTAGATCGTGCGTATAATAGACGATGACCTGAGCGAATGGAAGACCGAACAGCGAGAGAGGCAGGTCCGATACCGAAGATGGTTTGCGCGGCGCGGTATTTGGTGTTCCAGTGTTGTACCTCGTCGCGGAAAAATAAAGGAATACCTTTGATGTGGATCTTCCATGTTGAGTAGAGCCGCTCGTCGTTGAGGTTTGTGAGTCGCCCGATTGTCGGTGAGAAGTGACGTGTATAGCGAATGGGTCCGTCGAATACGTATCGCCGGCGAGGGTTGGGTTCGGATGGGGATGAAGATACCTGAAGGAGATACGTAAATGAGTATGAGCATTGCCGTGGCCGCGAAGATAAGAGGACAAGCTAGGTTGTCCCGATGACTCCTTGAAACCTAGTCATCGTCGAGTGAACTAGTCCGACCGGTATGAACGGCATTTTATAATAAGCGGTGGAATTTTGTGCCATGGCTTGGGACCAAAGATGACAAAGGAAACAGACAAGCCCAGGTAGAGAGGAAGTTGTTGACTAGACATGGAACGCACCTTCAACCAGAAGGTCCCTCGTACAATTTTGCGTATCGTTGATACTATTTCGACTTCCTTTGCGCCGGGGGTCACTGAGGTTGTAAAGCCTCCAATGAAGTCATCGTGGACAGAACCTTCATCCTTGTCCAACACTTCCACTGAAAGAACCTGATGTCACTGTTCATAAGTCACTTATTAAGGGACGAGAAGGCTAAGATAGCGCGCATACAGCAGTCTCTGGTACGTTCTTGACGTTCCAGGATTCGTTCCAGACAGGTGAAAGAGTGTTCTGCAAGACATTCGACCTGCGTGATTCTCTCAATCAACATCACAGAAATCGAGAGCAAACTCAAACCCACACAAAGGCTATCTTGTCATCGAGGTTGGCAACAAAGTAGGGGTCTGCCAAGCCAACAATATCCATCTTTGGCAAGTTGGATGCGCCAATGAACTGTATCGACAGGTCCACCAATTTCGCGTCCAGCATCTGCTGTTCGGCAAACTCTTTTGCTCGGTCCTTGATCTCCTTCGCATCATGTCGAGCACGCGAGACAGCGCCCAGGATACGAGACATCGTTGGTATAAACGGATTCCTGTGGCGCTTCATCGCGGTTACGTTGTGAGTCAAAGTAAAGGGGGGAGAAAGACATACTAGTACAGCGGGATCTAGGTGTAAAAAGCAGGTGCACTTTGCTTCGGGTGTAACATTGGCTCTCTTGACCACTTTGCGGGTGGCTGTTGTCGCGCTCAACCTCATTCAAATTACGTTAGCATCCGTTTCAGAACTTCCTCTTTCGGCCTAGGGGCTGCGCAAAAAGGACGGTGTGTCTTCAAGTCCGAACCAGCCTCCAGGTTCCATTTCAAAGAAAATGCAGAAGAACAGTGTAGCAGTGTAACAGAACAGTAGAGTGCGTCGTTCTGCTCCGCTGAAACCGGCACTTTGAGTTTCATCGTCTCTGTTCTAATTTCAGCTACCAGTACCAACATTGCATAGCCAGATTCTCTCAGCGCTAGGGACTGGTGTGGATACCATCCGTGGTTTTCCTCATCCGTACTACGGATAAAATCAAACTACAGGTTCATCCGTGGATACTGCCACTGTTTGAGTCCTACAATTACCAAGTACCAACTTTTGTTACACAAATTGTTAAGACAAAATTTATACACATTCAAGTATATATACTCTAAGATAGGTGAAAAATAAATATGCAACTATAAAATATGCATAAACATATTTTACAGTAAGTAGTAAGTCATTATTATACATATTACTTTAACAGTACTTCTCTGACTTATAAAACTATACTATAACTTATAAAAGTGCTCATATCTGATATGTTTTGGTTAGAGTGAATTTACAAACATAAATAGTAAGGTAAGGAAAGTATAAACTCGACATAGTATGTCACATCAGTCACAGCACAGCCACTTCCCCATTAGGAAGGACCCTGATGGCAAAAATCGAGCGGTGGACATTGACATTTTTTTTAGCACTTGTAAATACAAAAAAAATATAGATTATGGTTTTACAGCTCAGCCAGAATACTAGCTGGAAGGATTCTATGGCTATAGTATTTCTTATTTGCCTATTGAGCCTGTGCTCCTGTCAACCCCTTTCTATATACATCTATGAACTGAGCAGACCAGTTACAATACCTACAAAACATATAATAAAATCAATTTTGTAAGAAAGAAAGATTTAAAGTACTTACTTTTGAAAGAAATCAAGAGGAATAGAATCAAGGCATGTTTGAACATGCTTTTCCATTTGAGCTTCAGTAGTAGGGGCAGGCATCATCCAGTAGTTGAATTTAGTATAACCTTAGTACTGTCCATCAATTCATCAGACTCAAGTTGGGACAACAGTCTTTACATCCTCT